ATCCAGCAGTTTGAAAATTAACTAAATATGCAAATATATATTCAGCACTTGCACTGTACATATACAAATTTACTTCCTTCTGCACCTTTATGTGTATACTCTGATGCAGCCAACAAAAAAACCCTAACAAAACCAAACAAAAAAATCCCATTCTGAATTGTAGACAGGAGATGAACATCACCTCTTCAAAAGGTACTGTCCCTTAGGGCCAGACCATGCTGCAGCAGATCTTTTTCCTTATTATTTAATGCAATATTATAGGCAGGTAACTTTTGACACCAAAATCCCCATCATGCAATATATGATGTAAAATGCCTTATATAAACATATTTTAACAGTTTAAAAAAAAGTTTAGATTTCATTCAATTAACTAAATAGAGCTTCACATGGAAATATTAGCTGAAAACTGCAAGTTGCCCTTAAAAGGCAGAACTTGAGCAAACTCTTGAATTTCCAATGTAAACTTCATCAGCCTTTAATGTGGTTCCAGAAGTTCATCCCATAGTGTCTCACCTGAAGTGACTGCCCAGTGAGGAGATAGGCACTTGGAATTTCTGAATGCTTTAGAGAATATTAAACAGAATAATATCTTTCATTTGGAAAAATGAAGCCTATGGTAGTTCACAGTAAGTAGTGAGAGTCCTGATACTTTATCCATGGTGCAGGTAACTATTGAACTGCTCAGACTACATCACTTACCTTACAAGAATAAATACATGCCTTCTGTAACTACTTTCCTCATTCACTCTTGTGCAACACACAGTCTAATTAGTATGAAAAAGAAAGTTTCTCCTGATGTTTATTATTTGATCAATTTTATTGATCCATATGGCCAAAATCCAGGCCCAAATACTTCAGTAGTAAAATGATCATCAATTTCAATAAATGTATCTGTGTGTCACCAATGAAATTACTGAAATGACTTAGGTAAGTCCATTTTTTTCCCCCCTGTATTTACATCAATAGGTACATAATTTTGACAGATCTTAATAGACTGCAAGAGTTTATCTTGTTTTAAAAACACTCTGGCTTATTATTTACAGCATGCATAGTTCAGCCAAGAGAGGAAAGTTAAAAGATCACCATATAAAAGAGGAGTAAGAATTTTGAATAGCTTTATAAAATATGGTAACAGGACATATGCAATAAGAATTTAGGGTGTAGGCTCTGCATCTCTGTCCATCTAGAACAAGCTTTCTCATGGTAAGGGCCTTCAGGACTCTACACCAGAGTAATTTCAGTCAGGTCAGGAAGATCTGTCTGAGCCATGACATAAACAGAGACCCTTGACATAGACCCTTGAAATGAAAGCTTGGAAAAAACCCTTGGATAAACCAGATATCAAGAAAAGTTAGTTTAATGAAATGTAATCAACACATCAAGAACGGATTTTGACCCTTACTGGAGTTTAACTACCTGAATCTAGCATTTTCTCTGCACCAGATAACTATTTGCAGTGCTCCAGAAGAGTGGGATAAACTCTTGCAGAAAAACATCAACTGAAAGATTTAGACTGTAGCAAAGGGAATTGACTACTTCTCTAAAAATACTGGGTAACTGCAAAGGCTTATTGGACATATTTTAGAAATAAATGTCCCTTGACCTCTCTAACATTATAATTTTTACTGAATTTTGCCTTTTTTAAAAACAAACGTGTAATTTTAATATGTAAAAACTGCATACTGCTCTAGAATTAAACTTTAATGGCTTGTTTTTTGAAAAGCATCTTAAACTTCCATGAATTTCAGTGGGATTTAGTGGTTAATCATGCTTTTTAAAATGAGACTAAAATATTCCACTCTTTAATAAGTTATTCAGATTTCAGAACTGAGGTTACTACCACCTGATTTCAAACAGAATTTTTTCGCAGAAATGAAGTAGAACACCTAACTTCTCTTAGCACAGGAACTGTAAAGCTTACCTGACTGAAAACCTGAATTTTCTGCCCACAGTTTATTTTGCCACGTTTGAATAAAGATGCTCTATGAGGGAAGAAACTTGCAAGACAATAAGAACTGCAAATATTTTTGTTTCTGCTCAGTGTCACTTTAGGTTTTGTGCAGTTGCATTTTTGTGTTTGTGTCCCATGTTTGGTGTGTGAATGCAATAAACCCACCTTTTTCCTACAGAATGTCACACCTCGCTCCCTGACAGAGAACCACTGTTCCAAATGGATTAATGGCTCAAAAAATGGCATTAAACACAACCTGCAGAGTTTGAGTAATATAACTACATCATATCCTGTTACCAAAAGTGGTGACAAAAAATGCCTTTTTATAAATATACACCCCTATATATTTGTAAATTAGTTGGATATTTACTGACACCTATTTGTGAGACAATCTGGACTTTCCAAGCATCTGCCATGCCAGAGAGAATGAATTCTTACAAGGTCAGGGCTCCTACATCCTTCTGACAGCTCTTCCCAACAAATCTTGGGGAAGAGCAAAATCCAGGGGAGCATGATCATTCTGATTTCATGCTTTGATATCAAACACATATTAGCTCCAACCAATGTAAGAATGCATGTATGTCATTAAGCCACATAATGAAAGGTCTTTTCAGTGCAGTCTTGCTATGTTTATTCAGTGAAGCACAAGGAATTGCAAGATATGCAGTACCACTAAATCCTCTTTGATTTATAATAGCAACTTTCAGTTGTTAAATAGCTCTGTTATTGAACACATCATCAATTATAAATAGAAAATGCAGCAGTTTTCTATTTCTTTTGCTTTAAAGAAAAAATCAATTTTGTGTTTTTATTGTATGGTTTTATTCAGTTGGTGGTTAACAGAAAATCTCTGAAAGTTATTTTTACTGGTATATGCATGTGTTCAACTGAGTAGTTTGAATTTTCATTTTTCTTTTGTATTTTAAAGTCTTGCACAAACAATTAATTCATCCTCACAACATCCCTGTGAGGTAGGTACTTCAGCTGTTTAAAAAAGAAAGAAACCCTGGAGAAATTCACTTTGTTTCACTGATTCAGCAAATTCAAACCAGTAACAATAACAAGGTAGTTGCACTTCTCACTCAGATTTGAGTTCTGAAAATATTCTGCCTGTTTCCAGTCTCAGTAGCTCCTGTATAACTTCTTAAATATTTCATTTGAATATCACCTTGGTCATTGTTAACAGAGGAAGATATTTTTCCTGAGAAATGAGGAGGATTCAGTAATGATCCTGTGCACACAGAAATGTCATTGAGTGACCTCATTCCTTAATAGAGACTAACAAGTAGCCTTCTGGCATGGAATATTGGAGAATATTTTAAAAAATTAACCATTACAAGGTGATAAATATAGCATATAAACTATGCATTTGAACAATCAAAACATATGTATTGGTTACATGAATGAAAAGTTGATGAGTGTATTCCTCTGACCAATTAAAAAATGTGTGTGCTGAAGTATGTACCTTACATATTTTAAAGAGAAATATGTTTATACAAAGTTTATTGTTCTGCTAGTCAAATTTTATAATGGATATATTCATGCCCTGTCATGGAAGGTGGTGGGAGACATGAAAAGCACATTGACAGCAGAATGTTTTGATATAAATTGCATGCACAGTCTGATTTCTTACTTGCTTATCAAAGGAACAAATATATTCATTATAAAAAAAAGCCAACTCATTTACAAGATAAAGTGAAGCTTGTTCTAGCTCCAAGTCAATATAAACAATTTGCAACTGATTACATCCATCAAGTTTAATATAAACCATAGTAATCTGAATAGTGTAATCAGATGGAACAAGATTTAATAACATACAAACCAAAGTTAATGTTTCTCTGATTGTTTTCATTAACTGCATAACTATCCCAAGTATTAGTTTTACATATACATTATGCAACTTAATCTTAGAAAAGTTAAAAATACACAAGATAGTACATTATATAAAGGACATATTTATCAAAAGGTTATATATATTGCTGACTTTTGGAACTTTGCTTCTTTTTTAAAACAGAGTTGCCCATACATCAATTAGAAATAACACGTCACGTATTTAATTTTTCAGTACCCTGCAGAATGTCCCCTCTGCAATCTGGGCTTTATTATTCAGAAGAAATACTTATTAGAAATATTTATTTTAAAATCTATTAATTAAAATTAAATAAATATATTTGGAGGAAACACTCGTTTTCCACTGGCACTTTTAGATTACAGAAGACCACATAAAGCAACAAATTCCTTGAGGGCAAATCTTGTCTTTCTTTATATAAAATCAAAAGCCCAGAAGAGTAGTAGGAATGGCAAGGAAAAACTGCCATTAAGTGCAAAAGCAACTTGTGGTACTCTTCTAAATGGGTAACACTCAATATGTATTTTGAGCATAAATCTGGCATAGTGACAGTGTATTTCCCTTTTATTTATCCAGTTATTGCAGTATGTATAAACCAGTAAGAATAGTATACACAACTAAACAACTCCAAATCAGAAGACATGAAGATAGTTCATAAAATTATGTTTTCATCCTGTTAAATTTAAAAGTACATTTTCTTGCAAAAACTTCTTTGAGAACTCGAGCATTCGAACAAGATGCCACGTGTATATATAGAGTAATAAGAATTTTTCAAATCACTTCCTAAAGTGAGTATATGGGTTATGGACAAATGAAAAAAACCCAATCAAAACTGGCATGGGATGGGTAGTTTGGAAAAGACAATTTTTGTGGTTTACATGTTCAGTGAACAAAGCAGATGCATGGCAAACTAACGTTTCTAAACTGATTAATGTTATGGAATAATAATGAGGCAACAGAAATAAACATGAATTTTTCATTGCTGAGTTTTTTGGAATTGACCGGTTTAACTTAAGGGCAATTTTAAGACCAAAGCAGAGCACTACTTTATTAGAGTATAAGGTTACCCCCACTCGCAGACAACAGGGTTTCTCTTGCTAACAGCTGAAGAGTTGACACTGACCCTGAAGCTCTCAAGGTTAGTAGGATGCTGTTAGTAGTAGCAGTTGCAAACATATGGGTTTGCCAGTAACAACTCACAATTTGTGCATAGTTGAGTCTTCGAAACTGAGCAAATTTGCTCTCAAACTCTTGCCAGCGCTTGCTGAGCTGTGCCAGGGTTGGCTCCACTGCCCTTGCAGCCCCATCCTCAGACAGGCGCTGAGCCTGTCTGTGCACCGCGGTCAGATCTTCCTTCTTCTTCTCCAACTCTCCACCAATCTCCTAGTGAGCAAAACCAATACAGGGCCCAGGACAGTTAGCTAACTACATCAATCAACTTGAAATTAGCAAAATACTTCTGTCAGAAAATCCATTTCCATTTTATTGTTACGATTAAGATTTACAGCTATTTCATGTCTTATTTTACATTTAAACGAAACAAAAATAACTGAAATTGTAGAACTTTCTTGGAGATGGGTTGTAGAGATACTAACAACTAGTACACACTGAAACGAGTCAGCAAAGGCCAACAGTTTCCTTGCTCAGATTCTTACTAGTACACTGTGATGGGCAATTGGAGAAATTATTTTCTCAATAAGGGTCAGCATATTCAGGACAAAAGGTGTTCAAACAGCTTAAAAATATATTATTAGTCTCTTTAATATATTAGCTAAGTCCTATTTTAATCTCTGGGAAACTCAACAGAGAATGAAGCAAAAAAAGACGATGTAAAATAAACCAGGAAAACCTTTGACAGAATGTAAACAAATCTATAGAGTTTGACAGTGACATATGAGTATGTTCTGATGAAAATGAATGTGCTAACATGAGATAGAGGTCATCCATATATCGGTAAGTCATTTGTTCATCTGGAACAAAGATACATAAAATCAATTACAATTTTTACTAGAAAACAGTTGATGCTTCTTAATACATTGCACACTTTCTGTATTATTAACAAAACATTATGTTTAGTGCATTTCAAATTATTTATATAACACTCTGCATAACAAATACAAAGTATAGTACAACAAAGAAATTTCAGTTTGAATACAGATAATTAGAGTTTGTTTTACTGTAAATACAAATAAAGAACAGAACTGATAATTGTCTATATCTATAAGATTGTTGCATTTGCTGCCTTTTGACTTGATAAACTATCACTCAAAAAGATCTACCATTGCCAACCCAAACCAACATTACCTTCAGCTTCTGCTCATCTTTGTGGTCTGGTAGACCGGCTAACTTTTTCTCAATGTCATCCAGCCACGTCATTAGGTCATCAGCCTGTCTCTTGTATTGATACCATTGATGAGAAATCTCTAAAGCCTTTTTTCTTCTTTGAGATCTCAAGTCCTGTTCACAGTGCAGACATTATTAGAATATGAATTAAAGGCTTACAAGATATGAACTGGCATGTGTGCACACTGAAGGGAAAAAAGTGTACAAGGCCACTATTTCTTAAACTAAATGTCAATATTTTAAGCAAGTATATGAGTAATTGAACATCTTTTCATCAGTTTAACAATTTTTTGTCTTAAAGAAGGTTACCTAATTCAGTATTGTTCACATGTTGAATAAACCACTGAGACAGTCACCAATATTCAGAGAAGTTAAGACTCTTACATAAATGCCAATATTTTATATAAAACACTTCTGCTCAGAATACTTACTGGACAGATGGAAACACAGCCCACTTAGTACCCAGCCACAAGTGTGGCTTCCTGTGTTTTGTGGCCTCTGAATTTCTACCCTGCATGAAAACTCTGCAGCTACTCAAATGAAAACCACTGAAAAGCAGAAATGTACTCAAAGACAGGTTTCCTTTTCCTAAATTAAATACCAAGTACGTAACAAATGTCTTGT